CTCATGGTCAACTTGTCGTCCACCATGACACCCAGGTCCCTCTCTGCGGGACTGCTCTCCAGCAGGTCCACCCCTAATCTGTACTGGTGTCCGGGGTTATTCCTCCCCAAGTGCAGGACCCTGCACTTGCCCYTGTTGAACYTCATGAGGTTTCTCGCYGCCCAGTCCTCCAGTCTGTCCAGGTCCCTCTGGATGGCAGCACAGCCCTCAGGAGCAGAAGTGCCTAGTTCTCACAGCTGAGGTTTCAGGGCAGAATATGGAGAGAAAACTGCAGCTTTCAGATAGTAGAGGCTATTTAAGATTCCATCATTTATTTTAACTATATCTGTATTTATATACCAATATAACTATCTTAATATGGCAATTTTGTGTTTGGATTTTTCTATAGAGAATAAATTCTAACATTTAAAATATTTTAATTCTTCTATTCATAAATACTCATCTGTATAAAGCAAAAAAACCCTTCTTCTTATCTCTCAGTAAAAGGCATTATGTGCTCAGGAAAAGATGAGTGAAGAGTTTCCCTTTGGGGTTGTCTTATATATATTTATTATGTTTATAATAAGGTTTGCTGTCTTGTTCAGCGAAATGCCAAGCAGGCCACRTATTCTGGCGTTCCTCACATATATATAAATACACACAGGCAATTTTCAATCCATTTTTTAAAATTTGTGCACAAATGAAATTCACATTTGGGTTTTATATGAATGAGGTGACTGAAACATTCAAAAAAAAAGAGAAAAAAACCCTGCCCCCATATTAAAGCATTATTAGATTCCACAAACAGATAGTGGTTTGGGACTTTTTTTAATTAAGTTTTTGCCAACCTGATAGGGTGAATTTTGTTTCATTTGGAAAGTGAGAGTGTTTTGTTTGACTGCATGGGAGCTATAAAGCCTGGAGAAGGGCAGACCTGAAATGAAAAACTACCTATATTCTTGTAGTCCACAGACGAGGGAGCTAAGAAACAGATACATTTTTATTGCATTTAACAGCCCCACACTCAGTGATTGCTTTGTTACATTAATGGTATCTTTGCTCCTTGGTATGAGCACCAAACTCACCTTGAATCCATAAATGTGTACACATCTTGCTGAAATTGGTTCAGTAACAAAATGCCACATCATCTAAAATCCATATTCAGCTGAGACCTGCTTAATGTGAAATCTGCAAGTCAGAATACCAGCACTGACCCTTCTGCCAGATACTCCACATGTAAGGAGGAATATTTATCTCCCGAAAATACTTTTATGACTCTCAGCTTACATAAATCTTGTGTGGAACTTTGTTYTCTCTCCATTTTATGAGGGACTTTGACAGAGCAGATCATTAGCCGCAGTGAAATCATTCCTTTCCAATACATATGTTTGCCTATACAAAGACAAATACATCTCTGATAGTGTAAATGTTAATAATTTTGATCTGAGCACAAGAAACATAGTTTGCACTTAAGGAATACCTAAGCCATACTTTTCCCATTAGTAACATCATACATAGGCTATTTTAAAAACTCTAAGATACACTGTAGATTCTGAATATATATATATTTCCTCAATTAAAGTAAAACTGCCCATGTTAGAAGTTCAGTTGCCATAGGGGTCTCTCAAGTGAAAAAGGGAGTGGAAGAAATTAAGATCTGAATAGATCTATCATCTGAAAGATGGTCAGACTTTCTTCATTGCCTGTTAAAGGACCCTAAGATGACAATTTTTAATCTATTTAAAATATCTGATGTTTTAGTTAAATACTTAATTGAGGTGGGATAAAATGACCAAACTTTGTATGAGCCAAGTGAGATAAAAAGGAGTAAGAACTGGGATTTAAAGCTATCTGCTGTTACAAGCTTAAAGCAGAAAGCTCTGTCATCTCCCACCTGCGCTCTAAGGGGAAGGCTCTACCCTCCCACGTGCTCCATTGGTATTTAACTCTAAATAACAGTGCATTTGTGTCTGTAATGGTGATACACATTGTCCTCAAGGATAATGAAAGTACATTTAAGAATCTGGCCCAATCAGAATCAGGAAGAAACGGCCTCCAGTGCCTACAAGATGGATGAAATGCTGACTTCCAAAGCCTGACTGTCCCTGATTCTTTCTGCCCATCCAGAAAGAATCATTTGGTGTTTTAATAAAAATGGTGCAAACTGCAGGAAAACTGAAATCTGCGCAAACAGCAAAAGGCTATTTTGGAGACAGAAAATAAGCATTTCAGAAGGACTGCTATTTGGGAACCTGCACCCCACTTTCACATGCACGAAGCATTTGGGAGAGTTACTCCCATAACGCACAATGATCTTCTTTCCTAAAGTTTAAGCAGGTAGTTAAGCATCTGAGTGTAGGTGCTTACATAGCAGTGATTTCAAAATGGTTACAGCTATAAATGGTTATGGTTATAAACGACTCAAGTGCTTTTGAGCAACATCCCCACTTAATTGTGCGCTCCTTGTAGGGGATGCCTTTTTTAATCAGCTCTGACAGGAGCGCGCTGGAAGCGGCTGTTAATATTACACAGAGACTTGTGCTCCCACAGCGCACGCTGGTCAGGATCCAGGTACCGAGGAGAAGCTGCTCTCAGACATCTTCTCTGGCTCTGAATCACATCTAAATGCAAATTAGTGGAAATTAAAGAAATACCTTATTTGGAATGCAGCACATGAAAATGCTGCTGGAGGTACAATTTCCTAGAAAAGTGAAGGCAGCAAAGAGGCTTGCATAGGATCTACCCAAGAAGGCAGGCAAGGGAAAAGCCTGTGATTGATCTAGGGCTGAAGAATCACTCTCAGTGATTTCTGGGGTGCTGCCCTTCTGGTGGGGTCTGTGACAGGAAACATGTGGTGACACTGTTGGAAGAACTACAACTAACACTGATGGGGACTTCTAATGACTAGAATGGGGAAGC